GCATTTCCCGACTATTGTCACACAAGGAGGAAAATGTAACGATGAACTTTGTCGTAACTTAGACATTATCGTAATTTTCATCACACTATTGCTTGGGTATAACTTGGACAGCGTTTTGTGCAGCGAAATGAGAATGCGAATTCGTAAGAAAATAAATACCTACTTGGGTATACCCATTTACTTTTAAAGAATTCTGGCTTTTTTCATATTAGGTACACGTAGGTGGTAATGTATTCAGTGCTGACAAAGTCTTTACGTAAAGATCGTGGAAATTACAAATGCCACTCTTTCCGATTTGGTATAGAGCGGTCGACATCTATCTATAGCTGCCGAGACATTTTCTCAGGCGTAGCCTGTTAAACATTTCTAAGTCAGATTCGATTTAGACGTCCATTAGACCTGCTGACAAATAGATACGAGTAGCACGCTGTTAATTGAGCACATAACGTCGCTCGTTAGCGAAGTCGATAATTTCGATCAGACAATACGCGAGACGCCCCGAATAGCTGGAATAACATCTCTCGCTTCGGTGCCAACGAAATGGAATTCGTTGCCATTAGAAATTCTACTCTACGTGATGACTTCATTGCAATCGGGATGCCTTTTACCAACTGTCGCGGCGACGCGTGAGTCCCACCCCGCGTGTCACTGCAACACGCATACGCATTTTTGCGATCGCCTAACCGCTCATTGGTGTCGGAATTTATTACTTTTTAATATGCTTTCATGTTTGTAAATGTTGTTTTTTTTGCGCATTCAACAGGTGTCAACTCTTTGCATACTAATTTGCGCTGCAAAAAATGACACGTTAATTAATGATGTTCCAATATTTGGTGAGTAAAGAGAAATCTGATTAAACTACGGTTCGCCACATGTCTGTCGTAACAATTGCGCAACGCTCATACATAACTCATAAATAACGTACAGAACCGATTTACCCGAATGTTCATTTTACGATCCCTGAGAATAATTTTTATGTTGACAACAATAGTGATATGGTTGCATATCTAAGAATGCTCGTAACTGTAGTCCGCAACGCAACCTACATTCTGCATTCTTTTCGAAACCGTAACACGCCTCTGCGTTCCGGATATACGAGTAAGCTCATGCTACAATCACCCCAATATCATTCACAATAAAACACATTTTGACTCGAATCATCCGATAGAATGCCAAGCATTGCATTTCTAGAGAGCTGTAAAACTCAGTACAAAGTAGTTACTTATGAGTTATGATTGATAAGTTGATGACCGCGTCTAACCGCCGACCGCGTGAAACGTGTGTGTGTCTTGAAAACTAGCCACATTTTTGTGAAGGAGGCAGTAAATGGGTATCGTTACGGCGTTCGACGTTTCGTTCGGTCGGGCAGCGGAGTAGAGAGCACGGTCAAATTCCTGAACGCTTTCTCTGGTGGCTGAGGCGGTCGCAGCACGCGGCACGCATGCCTTTGCGCCGACGACGCCTTCACACGCAGCGCACCGAAAGTGAGCGCCGATGCGCCGTGTGCGCCGCTGTCAACACGTTGCATAATTATTCGCGATCCGACCATTGTTTGTAAACACTCAATAATAAGAATCACATCACTGAACAAATTGCGTGATCGTATTTTGATTAGATTCGCATACCAAAAGTTCCTTATTGTCTCGTTACGATAAATAAATCAACTTTACGTCATTAGTGTCAATATACTCATTTTTGCGTAATTAAAACTCGTTTCAAGATGCAGTTCGCAAAAAATTTGGGTCAGAATGCGGATATGTTATGGAGGGATGCAAGCCGGAAGAGCTGTTGTCGTGTTGGTCGGCGAAATTCACGCACTACCATTTTCCAGCCACCCGTAATATTGTTGCGGCTGCTCTTGGAAAGCCCTGCTTTCTCAACGAGATTTAAGTTATTGTCATTTCGTTGAAGAGAAAACTCCTCTTAAGGAAATATCACAGTGCGGATTTAAATTTGATTAAAACTGACAACAATATAGCATTAACTCTAAAGTGTATTTTTTCAGAATACTTATATGAAAAATTAATTACTCACTTCCCGTAAAAGATTATTAAAATTTATGTTTTAACATCAAAACAATTTTCTGCTTGCCAAATTATATTAAAATATAAAAGGGAAACAATTATTTTATATTTTTGAGCAATGATAGTTTTGTCCAGAATTTGCTCACAAAAAGTTTGTCTCATTTTGAGTTAAGTAGATATCTTTTGATTGTTTATCATAATATTCTAATGACGTTTATATTGATAAGTAGCGATTCAAATTTCAGCAATAGTATAGTGTAATAAAGGTTCAGCAATAGTATAATCTTAAATTTCGCATATTTTGAGTCACAACACTTATTGTAATAGCAGTGCGACATGTGGACACTGCATAAAATGAAAAAAAAAAATAAAACCTATTAGAAAAGCAATCGTGCCCTCCTTGTCATAACTAACACATTTTCATTTCGGTAACTTTCAACTTTTATTATCAACTACAAAAATGTCAATTACGCTAATATTCAACAATAAAACTGAAACTAAGTAAGATATTAAAAAACCGATTAGAGGGGGTTGTAGATCTCGTATCGTCTTGCCGATCCCAGATATGTTAATAACTGAATTTAGCTAAAATGTCGATTACGTTAGTTATGACATTGACAGCAAAATTGTCAACCATATTATTGCCTAAATGAAAAGTCAGTTTTGTCCAATGTACCCGGACGTGCTGGTCGAGTGCGTTTCGCCAAAAAAGTTGGTAAAAACAGGCGTGACGGTCATTCCGGCAACGGCACCGGCGGCGTGGAAGCGAGCCAATGAAGGCTTTATCGCGAAACCAGTTCGAGTCGACAATGGATTCCATTGTGACTTATGTCGGAGCCGTGAATCCGCTCGCCGCTGTACATTCTTTGAGCAATACTTCGCGTTGAATGCAGTGACCGCAGGTAGTCAGTTTTAAGCTATTGTAATAACGATATATTAATAACAAATATTATATTGCACCTATAATGTAAAGATAACATACTGCTATACTATATACCAAAAAATGTTTATATTTAAATAAATAACAATTAGACACAGAGTACCAATTATATTAACATCTCTCAGCACCGATTTAGTCAACCTTAATTGAGAAAAATCGAAATTAAACAAAACGGATTTTGTTGCCAAGTAGAAACGGCTGAAGATTTAAAAATTGTAACAGTACATTGATTAGATTGAAGGTTAATAAATAAAAAATCTTTTTCAACTAAAGTTTAGTAAACTTATAAGTTCGCATAACCCTACCTCGTACCATTCGACAAACATATATTAGAAGAAAATTAAAACAAATTCATGAAAAAAATGACAGTCGACTATTTTTTCTTTAAATAAGATATGTAAAATAATCGGCCATATTAAAAAAAAACACTACATTATTTTGGGGACTACTGTTCCGATAAACGTTAAAACAACGAGATTGTACCTGAATGCTTAATAGATTCAAGACGTGTTGTTAAGATCCAGATTCCAACTAAGAGCCTACTAGCAACAACTACAACAAAAAAAAATTACGACATGTTTTAGAATTTTGATAGGATCACAAAAATTGGACGAAAAAAGTTATGGCGTAACGCATAAAATCACAAGAATTTTTAGAAACTAGCTATTGGAGCGGTCACAGTGGACTGGACGGTTAAACAATGTCAGCTGGAATCTGGAATGCGACCCGCCTACAAGGCCGCGAGCCATCTTAGTCGTAGGGTTGTCAATTGTATTCATGCTAAGATCAAGTGTTTTCATTAAGAAGAACCGCTACCAATCGAAGAGTTAAAATCCTAAACATAATATTCTAATATGCCGATTACAATTCAAGTACATAAATACGAAAAGAAGTTTCCTAAAGAAAAAGTAAAATTCAAAATCTTTATACTAACGTCTTTGTTTATGTTTAATGTGGTTTAATTTAGTTTTTATTTCATTTGTGATTTATGTTTTGCATATTTGTGTCTGTTTTGTTTCTTTTCTATTCTTGTGTAATTTGTGGTAGTCATCATCATCATATCAGCCGGAACACGTCCACTGCTGAACATAGGCCTCCCCCAAAGATTTCCAGACCAGCCGATCGGACGCGACGTGCATCCATCGGTTACCCGCCGCCCTTACCAGGTCATCCGTCCATCTAGTATGGGGCCGTCTCACTGAACGAGCTATGTGCTATGTCGGTGACTTTCGTTCTTCTACGGATCTCCTCATTTCTGATTCGATCACGTAGAGAAATACCGAGCAGTGTAGTAGTCAAATAAAAGTTAAAGATGTGAAACTTTATATATATTTCCAAAAATATACTAAAGGAATCTGGTTTTGCACGAACCAACACACCGAACCTAGTCGCTTAGGAGACCAAGGGTCGTATTCCAGAACTGTACTCAATGCTCAAGTCAGGATTTGAACAAACTTGAGTATGATTTCAAGCACTGGAAATACGACTCTAATGGCAAGGAGTTGAGTATGATTTTAAGTGCTCACTGCAATACTCAAGTCCTGACTTGATTATAGAGTAGAGTACTAGAATACGACCCCTAGAGATTAAACTTGGTAACCCTATTTAGAATACTCGCAAGTCATCGGCAATCGGCAGCTGAATTATATCTCATTCCTTACATTGATACTGATTAATAGACATCGTTCGATGCGTGCTCTAACGTATGCGGATTAACTAATAGAGTCGCGCATATTTATTTAATTACATTCTTTCAGTCCTACGCACCTGACAGAGTTACGTGCAGCTCTGCTAGATGTTTAAATAAAGCAATTTTTTTTTTAAACGCTCATGAATGTAGAGAAAGGTGTAATTAAATATGTTATGATTACAGTATATAAAACGACTCGTAAGCTAATAAAATATGTACAGTCGGTGCCTTCACTTTAGTCTCCACTATTATTTGTATAGTACTTAGTACAAATAGTTGATACATAAGTGAGGGCACCTACTGTACAGTAGAGGTTGAAATTGTGGATTATAAAGAGTATATTTACCAAAGCTATCTGAATCACTGGCAGGGTATGCGGGGCATGGTTGCACCATAGTTGCTGCACGTGATAACACGTCCAATGCTGATTCTACCTTCTCCATGATTACCTGTGTACAAGAATATGTGAATTTATATTATACAAGAATAAAGACGTCTAATTTTACAGAGATATTAACAAGAAATCATACCAATGACAACGAGCATGAAAATAAATTCGCACCTTTTTGCCAATAATAACTATGATGTATTCAAACCGAACTGCGATAACAAAGAAAACAACCGAACTTGATCTGAAACTTGTGAAATATAAATAAGTTTAAACTGTTTTGTACGGAATGTCATTGTGAAGACTTAATTAGCATTTAGTATCGCTTTGTAATCATCCATGTCTGGACACGTAAAAACATTTGGCACTATATTCAAAATGGCGCAGACGGTAATGTGTAATCATGCAAAATACCGAACCGGTGGAAATTCCTCGAGAACGTAAACGACTAGACGTCAGATAGACGATAGCCGAGCCGTACGAGTTCCACGTAAATAAGAGGAGTCAGATGATCAAACAAAGAATTGTGAAACGTGGCGAATGGCCGCATACCACGAGCGGTCGGGAACGCAGCCAATGGACCACGCTATCGCGAACCGAGCAACGCACTGCCAAGCACCACGAAATATGATTTACTGACATGACCCATTACCTCGCGGCTTTATTTTACGAAGCGAAGTAATCAGTGTCTACATAGCTGATTGTAATGGAATGAGGAACTACCAAAGACAAACAACAACTTCGTATCAATACGTGTTAATGAAGGCAGTTAGTCTGATAGCATCTGTACCTTAGTGTGCGGCGTAATGAATGGTAAATCAATAACACTGTCCATTAACACGTCGCGTTCATATGAAACTATTCAATAAAATGCAAGGTTAATTCAAGCATAGGTATCTGATGCATGACACTGGCCAAATATTGTGATAATAATACACGAGATTCGCATACTTAAAGCGGCATACCAGGCTAAATATTTTCTGACGGTCACGCCAATACAAACAAAAACGTTGTTATTGCTCAACTAAATAGTTCGATGCGGTCTACAATGGAATTTGAATGATAAAACGTAATGTTAGACTAATGATAATAAAATACAGAACTCGATTAAGTACATTCCAAACATACTTCGTAAAGAAATTGGGCTGATGAATCTTAATGAGTATAATGGATGTCATATTCCTGGAATGTGAAGATGTATAATGTCATTAGGTATACTTTCAAAAGCTGAGGCAAGATTTTTGTAGCATTCTTACACGACCATGGAGGTGTCAAAGAAGGGACGGTAAACAAAACCGTTGGAACGACGAGTGATGGCTACGTTAATAATGAGGAATTTGGTACATTAACCACAATAGAATTTTTCTGGCCGGAGGCGGAGTCACGAGTTCGGTCGGAGATGGTATGCCGAGCCTTACACACTCAATAGATCATTCGACACATACTTTGATGGTCACGAAGCCATTTGATGGACTAGAACAGCGCAGTTTAACTGCCGATCATTGACATTATAATCATACGTGAATTTCATTACCATATAGGCAAACTAATGAAACTTGATGAAAATAGAAACGAAACTCAAGAAAAACGAAATATGTATAAATATGGATCAAAGCTTTACAAATATTTATCACGCAATTTGGTAGACAGTTATGATTGGATAATTAAGATATGGAGAGCAAATTGTAAACACAGGTTTTATGGTAAAGTTTACGATATTGAATATAAAAAAAGAGCTTAAACTTTGACATGCGAATAGTGTTAAATATTTTCTGCTATGTAACGATTCTAACAATCGCGAACTTGATATTTAATTAGAAAACGGTGACGTGATATTAAAATTTAAATGTTGATTGAAATTAAGATGCCAGCTGCACGGCATCTGCTTCACTGTTCGTGTTATCGTGGGGTTTAGTTTTTTTTTACATAATTACTATTACGAGGTGAATTCTGAAGTGCAATTCACTTGTTGATTATAATGGTTTACGTAAACGACGTGATATAAGAACTGATAAACAAATATTTTTGGAATTTATACAACGCTTAAAAACCTTTGTTCTTATAGTTGAATTGAACAATACCTAAGTATATGAGTTTTTTGTTTTTACGCGTCGTCGTTTAAAAGTCTGCAGTTTACGAAAATTCTTATCACCTGCTGTTTCTAAACGAAAACCACATGGTGGTCGAACCTTGACTTTCCCAGCGTTAAAAATAATAATCTATTTAGGTCTACGTGTAGCTGTTTAAAAATGTGTCCTTATGCCGGGGCCATAAGATTGGAAGTTGATTTGAGTAGGAATGCCCGCATTTAGGGTGCATGTATTCTTTTACGACAGCCGCTACCCCTGCTGTGCGCAGACGCACGTGGCTACAAGGGGACGATGGGAATGCGGCAGATGTTCTATTAACTTGTGGGGTTACCCGAATTTTTACAGTGTGTATATTTATAGATGCCAGCTCGGGTATAAGCGAGGAAGATTTTAACAGTGAGCGAAATTTTTAACTATATTAATTCATTCGCTTTAGTACGTACGTATTAAGAACTGTTATTTTAATCCTGTGGAATCAGTAGCGCGAGAACGAGATTTTTAATATTTTATTCAATAAACTCGCAATTTAATACCCATTCATGGACTCTCACATAGGTATACAACAGTGGCTTATAATGTTTAGGAGAGTTGAAAGGAAATTGTGTTCGAGAAACAGGGTACACATAAATTAAAATTAAATTCTTAAAAGAGTCTTAATTTTAATTTAATACAAATAAATGCAACATTACTCTAAAATTAAGCGAAATAATAAAAACAGTTGGAAAAGAAACTAGTTTTTTCGGATCTAAATCGCATATTATATTTGTTTTATAATCAAACCACCGTTTCGGACACTTTACAGGTCCCATTGTCACGGTTGACTAGGTCACGTCAAGCCCGAAACTTTGGTTTGTTTGAAAACAAGCATATACGATTTAGACCCGAAAAAATATTTTCATTTCCAATGCGTAACAATCTCGAAAACCTAGACTCGGTAAATAAAAACACATGAATAGTATTGACGTTAGTGATGGTCGTGTATTGATATGCGTGACGCTTGCCAATAACTAAGTAGCTACAATAGAATGTCAAAGTAATGAGTTAATTAACATTTTGCCTCGAGTATTTGTATGTTAATCATAAATGGAGTGGTCTAAGATCATTGTTATTTAAGTGAGTTCAAAGAAAGGAGGCTGTGATAAACATGCCACATGATTTCGACCTAATGTGGATAAAAAAGATTAAATCCGATTTTTCGCAAAGCAATTATCTTTGTCATAACTATAGTCCATTAGTTTAGGTACTTAACTAAATGTAAACAATCTTAATACATTTTTTTTATTGAAACATATGCTTTACAAATCAATACATATAAAAATAGGCATGCAATTTCATATGAGGCAAGTATTTGTATTTTGTATTTGAACGTAAGTAAAAATAGTTGTATAAATGTATATTTCATTAAATAGACATCTCAAGATTGTTTACATTTAGTTAAGCACCTAAACAAACGGACTATAATGCATTTTGGTAACTTTCGAGATATTGGATAAACTAAATAAAGTATTAAAAAAAAGAATAAAGAAGGTTGTATATCCATTTCGCTGACTCCAGGTAATGTGAATAAATCAAGTTTGCTAAAAATGTCGATTAGGTTAGTTAGGATAAGCAGGGCAGAATTAGTCTAGTGCTTCATTAATCAAGGAGGTAGAAGGCACGAGGTATTAAGCATTTATGTTATAATTATAAACATTTGGCAGGCGTGGGGTCTATTACGATTTAAAACATTTTTAATAACATAGCCTCTCACTAATGAATTAAGAACTCGGTTTGGCACGGTCAAGGAAAAATCAAGCTTGACAAATGAGCACATGAAGCCTAATAATGGTGCGTCTGGTTCCGGCGCCTGGCACAGATATTTGATCACCAGCGTCAAACATCATGTGTTCTGGACTGTACTTACATTCAGGTACACATGGATTTATTTTTAGAGGGTCCCGTGGTTGATAAATATAATTAAGGGGAATTCGTAAGGGGAGGCTATACACCCAATGTTGCCAACGTTACAAAATAAAGGTTCGGCAATATTCGTCGTCTATCGTAAGTCTTTGTTGTACAAATCAAATTTAGAATTGGGAGCGCGGGGTCACATTGGCTAATCGGCCGAGGTTTTATCGAGCTCTTATCACCGCCGCGTGTGGAATACAACTAACGGCTGTCGATTATACAACAGCCAATATAACTTGAAATCTGAAAAAGAGGTTTATTTCAAGTGATATTGTGCATTATAAATATTTATGAAAACATTACAAATATGTATACGTCGAACAGTTTTTGTAGCTAACTATTATGTAGGTAGGGAATGTTCTATTAATAGGAGTAAAAACCACATGTCAGGGACCAATATATTACGGTTATTGGTATACACAGCCGCCGCTTCAGTTCGCGCATATCGCTCGCATTCCTCACTATTATGTTCGCAGACTTTAGTTCACGATGATGCGCTGTACAATGTACAATTGTACACCGACTTTGTGAAGCGGCGAATTTTTTGCGCCTTCGTCAATTAAACCGGTAGGTAGTACAGTCGGTACTTACCTACTTACTCTTGAAGTTACGTGTTCATAATGATAGTGCTCGACTTTTTTTTAAATACTATTGGCATAATATTTTCGATCATGTGCTTTTAAAAAATGCATTATTGAGGTGGAATTTTTAAATACAGAAATAGGTTACTTATACGCAGGACTTTTGTTTATTGACATAAAACAAATGAATGATGGCGCATGCCTACTTTGGCGATGTTGATAATAATCAAACATTGCATTAAAAAAAAATACTCGCGTGTTACCCAGATGCAAATTGCGTTTATAAAGAGAGAATCGAATGTGAAGAATTTAAATTGACTTACCAAAGAATCGTCTTCCCACGACGTTTCACAAGTTGACCCAACGAAGGAATGATTGTTTTCTCACCATACAACGCGAACGTTAAACTGTTATACACGAGCGGAGTTCAATTAGTAAATATTACAGTACCCCAACCTTACTGAAACTTCATAACAGTGTAACCAGACCGGCAAACTACAAAAATCAATATGTTTGCAATCGCAACAACTATACAACGCGGTTTACGAACAAGACTAGTTATTTAATACTTAAAGCGCAAAAGAAATCACTTTATTCTGCCGTTTATTTATCCATTGTCCGTCAAACACTATTATTTGTTGTGATTATAAAAATCCAACTATCGCGCCACAGCTCTGTTGACGAAATAGTCGCGTTTGACATTTGAGCCGAGCCCACTACGATTGGAATCCGAGGAATGTCAAATATTTTTAGTGCTGCCATCTATGCTACGGAATCTCAATCATCACAAAGGCGGGTACACTGGAGTCTTCGATGCCTTTTGCTGAATTTCTAAACTCACTGTTACTTGTTTAAATGACGACAAAATTTGAATAAATAGTGAAATATCGTTAAAGATATTTTTTTCTGTGCTAAATTTTATTTCTTAAGCGACGTAATTGTGGATTTAAGAAAGTGCGGCGCGTTCGCGAATCCGTTGGAATGCGTCCAGGTTAAGGCCGCCTCTGAGGGACGTCAACGGCGCAGGCGCGGTGGCAGGCTGGTGCGGGTTATCGACACACCGCGTGGAGGCGAGGGCGGCATTCTACCAGTCGCAGTAGGTCTACACTGCGCATGTAGCGTAACTTCGCTGTGTCGGTTTAGTAATTCCATTACAATTTAAAATTTTAGGGGATTATATCTTTCAGATTTCCCGCGATGTTGCACCTTTATTGCGATACAAACAGACCTTTAAAAGTTAAAAGCAGAAGTAGTATAAGTAGGCATAATTTGTAGTGTCGTTATGCAAGGAATGATTGTAATTTGTATCAAATTCTGTATCAAACACACCAAATCTACAATGAAAGGTACAATACAAAACGAGAGTTCGACTAAAAAGACTGGTTTTGAATCGCAGTTCTATAGTCAAACATTACACGCAACGCCATCTACACGTTACTTTTATTACTAAAGATGCATTGCAGCATTGTGATTACAACTTGGTACCTACCGTAAATAATGAATTCGTAGATGTCGCTTTAACAATTTTTTGTGGAATTTGACTTCATGACACCATTACAAATAAAAAATAATATTATAATGTTTCTCTTAAAGTCGACCCACGAATTTATATTATTATTTTGTAAAATTAACTAAATAACACATATTTAATTTCATATATTTAATAAAAAATTAAACACGTTCACCTGTAGTGTCGGTCTATCTTCTAACTGTCTTCTAACCAGAAAGAGGTTTAGGGTCGTATTCCAAAACTCTACTCAATACTCAAGTCCTGATTTGAATATTGCAGTGAGCAATGAAAATCATACTCAAGTCCTTGCCATTAGGGTCGTATTTTCAGTGCTTGAAATCATACTCAAGTCTGCTCAAATCCTGACTTGAGCATTGAGTACAGTGGCATATGACCCGTAGAGCCATGTTAATGACATTACTAAAGTTTTATGTAAGTAGGAACGCAATAAGAAAATAAAAATATTTACATGACACAATCTTTATTTTAAATCTAACACAACGTTTCATAAACCTGTGAAATAAACCAACAACGCTCCTTATTTTAATGCACCGTTAACAGAAACCAAGCGACAATATTTCTAAACGAACATTTAGAATTTACCCATATAGGCAAATATTTTATGTGAATTGCATTATGCACATTACAGTCAATAAACAACTTTTTGTTGTAGGTTGATCAATGATTTTGATCGTGCCATTCCTTTTTCACAAATTGACGTTCCTTTTCCTACCTACTTGAGACCCTGTTACCTCCCAGATGTCCCTTTGTAATATGTAGGTAAATATCATTCTTTCATAAAAAGTTTTAAAGTGTTGTATTTATTGTAGATGCTTACCTATTTAAATTTTTATTCTGTGTACTGTTCTGAACCTTGTTTCTTTAAGTCCTTCTAAAAAAATTCCTTTTGTTTTTGGTTCTAACGCTTTCCGCGAGGAAACAATGAATTAAAAATAAAAATTCTTAATCGTACTGTAATAATCCGTTTCATCAACTGCAATGGTGTACTGTAGTTTGATTTTGTTTTGTTACGGCGCGTGTACACGTAAAAAATTTGACGTGTCTGCTGCAGAAAAGATGAGAATGGTCTTGTATACGGCAAGAACTTTGTCGAATCTAGCCACGAAAATATGTCGTGTCAGGGGTTTACTCTCGATCTCCGTCCGACATCCGTCCGAAACAATTACTGCCAAATAAGCAATACTCAAGTAATGCTTATTTGGCCAATCAAATGAAAAGACGCGTGACGCGAATGAAGCTTCATACTTGATACTTGTCTTTTAATTCTAAGGTCTACAGGGGGTTGCAGACAAGAAAATGATGAGTATGTACACGATACGAATGCTTTCGGGCAGACGAGTGTAGGGTAAACGTGTCAGTGCATTAACGAGTCTACTAATTATTTTTCTTCCATTATATGTAGGTGCATTACGATTGCAAGATAAATGTATGCATAAATCATATACTACCGAAGTATTTACCTAATAATAATTTTAAGAAATGTATACTTAAAATTAATATTTGTATTTACCGTATTAATTTTTTTCTCTATTTGTCATTTCTTAAAAATCTTCCTTAAGAATAATAAATTTTTATCTCCATACCTCAAAAGTACGTCGTTTATCTTCATAAATCTGTAAGGTTTTGTCGTACAATACGGGTCTTCCTCTACTAAACTTATAAGCAAATCATGCATTTTATTAGTCGCAATAAAATTAGTGGTGCAACAGTGGTACTTTGCAACACCAGTCCACGCGCATAAACGTTCGTTTACTGACAATGCGCCCCATACAATAGCGGCAGAGCGCGTCGTGTCGGGGGCAGACAAGATTTATCTTCTTGTCCGGCGCCGAGGCAGTGTACGTAGTTCGTGTGTAGAAACGACACGAATTCTTGCATAGATCCGGCGACTTTTCTTAGCGTGGACACGCGCCCTTACGATTTTCTTTTGTTCTCTCATTGCAGTTTCATCATTGGAATTTGAAGTCATATGTTTCAGGCCAGTACTAATACTGGCGTAAAACATATGACAGTACTAATATTTACTAATAAAAATCCCAAGTCTGGTATTAAGTGTGTACCAGCTGAGATGTCACTGATCGTCGGTATCTTGAATGATACTGAATATTGATGTGCACTAAGCACTAAGATCATATCGATCCTGCACTTAAGGTGGAGTTATTTGTGGGCCTTATACTATGTTCTTTATATGAAAACAATTTGAAGTTAGTACAAATATTCTCAGTTCTTACCTACAGGTGTAAGTGCAGCCTTAGAATTTCATCCTTTTCTTTAATAATACAATCATTTTCAACCAGTTTTTTATACAAACATTTCAAGGCCAAAGGTAACATTTTATTTGTATTATTATTTGTATACATACTCAAAACCCAATAATGTGCATAATGCTTAAAGTAAACCTAAGGTCTGTGTGGCTTACAGGTTACAGAATAGCTCATTGAATAATTCGTGTATTAACAAACAATGGACATGACCTTTCTTCAAAATGCATACCAAACTTATGAAACTTGTGCGTGGTTTATTTTCAGGAGTATAGAAAAATGTACCTAAGCTATATTTCTTCCAAGATAGAGTAAAATGACAGTTCAATGCGTGAAAAAGTTTGTCAGGCTACAAGTAGCTAGTGATTAAAGTCGATAAGTATTCCATGGGCTATTGCCTAAATATTGGTTACAACAAATGATGGAACTTGTCTAATTTCAATATAAATTACGAATAATTAAAACGTCTTATACATTTACTTTTTTCTGAAAAATTGTGTCTTGAACTGTTGTCAACAACTACTTGACTATTTGAAACTACTAAAACAGGCAACACCGATATCGTAATTTTACTCCGTCTTGACAAAAATATAGTAGGTATCTATAATTTTTCATTAACACAATCTGATCTTGGAGTTTACTGTAAGTAAAACAAAATTTCATCCCTCTGTTAGCCAACTGCCGGGGATTTAGCGATATTTTAAGGGTTGCACTAATTTATAATAAAACTTAAATTAAAATTTAAAAAATAATATACTCCAACAAGTCAATAAAGTAATCATCTTTAAGCTAACAACTCGTTGAGACCAACTAAATGGGCGCATGCACGATAGGTCTACTGTAAATGGTTGAAGACTTGTACCCAAACCTTCAGCCTGCAGACTGTTCTAGTCGATCGGACAAGTGACTGAAACTCCAGAAATAATCAGGAAAAGAGCTGATGATCTTTAAATAGCTGAACAAATGTTCATGAAACGTAACTGAGAACCTTCTTGATCAATAGGTTCAATTTATATTGCGGCGGAACGGAATAGGACGGAAGTGTCAATTTCGCCTCGAGAATACTTGAGCATTCGCGAGCTTTCTCGCGACTGCGCGTTGAGGCTGTAGTATTTCTTGTCTCCGCGCTACTTCCCGCGGATTCGCCAGCCGTCGCCGACGGCAGCTGCGGAATTCTCGCAAAATACTCGAGCATTCGCGAGAATTCCGCGGAAGTCGTGAGACGTGATTTTTTGCTCGTATCTAGGTTGGTACGTTACATACATAATTGACCATAAAGTTCATTACGCCATGCACAATATCATTACAAAATTCGCTTATATTCCGTTCCAACGCAATATAAATTGAGCCTTCAAATAAAAAAAACCGCGTTGAGATCAGTCCATCAGTTTAGGAGCTACGCTGCTACGGACAGTTACGCAGACAAAGGCTTCACACTTATAATTCCCCTTTTTTTGCGGCGGAGATTTAAAAAGGTAGACAAACGACCGCCGTTCTCATCAACTGAAAAGTAGATCATGTAAAACTGCTCTACTTCAAAAGAGTGTAATAGTAATGGCTACGAAGGTATATAAAAAACTTCCACTTGAAATTAAGAATTGCAACGATTGTGCAGAATTTAAGAAATTATTATTTAATTACCTAAATGATAGGACCTTCTATAATATTGAAGATTTCTTATAAAATTTACATTTCATATTATTAAATTTGTTATTGATCATTTTACTATTTTATTATGTTTCATTAGTATTAGGTTGCATTGATTGGACTGCATGATTATAATATTATTACAAATTATTGCATGAGAATTACTAAAACTAAGAAAACTTTGTATGCCATAAGGCGGATAACAGTGATTCAAAATTCATTCTTGTAACAACGTTATAACCTGTGTATTACAAAGAAATAAATGATTTGATTTGATTTGATTTGAACGACGATCAATGGATAATGATCACTTTGAATAGAATATTACGTATGTTTTGCTTAGTTATGGCAAAAATATAAGATACCGCCGTTAGTGAAGAGAGTTGGGATTTCTGTACAGAGTAGGTAGACGAGTGCACTTGTTTCGGTACATAAATTGAAGAAAGGCCAATATGTCTAATTATATTAACTAATTTGATCACGTGTATGTTACTAAGATATCGATTTAGTTACTTTATAAAACATCCTACTTGGGTATCGATAAGAAAACCTATTTCTTTTGAAATTATTGCTTAACGTAAATGTGAATACGCAAGACAAAATTCCCTGTACTATGAGTACTCAGAACACACATCAGAAGCCAATTTAGTATAGTTCCTTTACCAAGTTGACCATATCGGGTACTGAACCCGAAACCTCTCATCTAACGCTCATAGTATAAGTGTATCGACGTCGCCAAAATTTACGTTTATCAATTCTAACTACTTCTTTTTTCGTGTGGTACAACGATCTTGTATTGAAACAGCTGTACTTCCCTACATACAGTTTAGCAATCCATAAAATATATGGGCAATAAATGTTTTGATTTTAAAATTATTATACTTGGGATTGTAGAGAAGATATTATTTTGTTTTGTTATGAATCATTTGCAATAAATATACAGTCGAGTGTACCCCTATGACGACTTATCACAATAATAAACATTAGGTAATAATTTGGTTCCATTTTGTATTAGGTTTTCATACTCTTAGGCATTTCTCTTAGGGTATATAAATCATCTGGAAACTATAGATATTTTTAGATAAATATTTTCTTTTTTAATAATTTGTTATTTGTTTCTGTGGCAAGGGTAGGCACTAACACACATAGACACGTATCTATACGTATATATATGCCTATTTCTATTGTATACATTTACTTTATTAGCCATCTGAGATCTTATCTCATAATTCAAATGACAAAATACTTATAATTGTAATTTTATACTACGAAGCTGTGCTTACCCAAAAATATGGCATTTTCTATCTAAACTTGACGAACTATGACCGTTTTCTATGTATAACTTAGACATTTACTTATTTTTACTTTATGTTGGTATTTCTGGAATATTTGGCAAAAACAATGTTTCAATTATTATAATAAGTTTACTTACTTGTCATAAAAGATAAAAGCTATAATTTCTTCAGTTTAAAATAAATAAATAATTTATATATAGGTAAATACTTTTTTGTATAGTATATACCGCATACCGGCTTTAACACTGACGCAACTCAAAAATGACAATCGTGGGAAGTAAAATAAATTATTCTGCCGGTCGCTAAAAGCGACATTAGCTAACTTCAAACTGGGTAAAGTATTGCCATAATTTTATTGAAAAACGGAGAAGCAGACAAGTTTCTGCATGTGCTTACTACAAAAACATAATTACTATTATTTTTGACTTGTGACGCTGTTGAAGCCTGTGTGCAATATGTTAAATCGCCTTAACTTGTATATAAATTTATTTAGGTTACTCTATGGGTACAATAAAGTTTAATACAACATTCGTAGTAATACTTAAAACTTCAAGGGGACGGCTCTTTTTTAAAAAAACTATTTGAAAATTCACAAGAAATTGAAATAAAGAGGTTAATATACGAATAACCTACAGTAATTTGTCTAATTGTATTTTGGTAGTGTTGCTACGTAAAGTAGGTACATATTTGAAGAAGAACTATTGCATAAAATGTAATTACTTAGCATTGAGAGGGTGTTGCAATATGTAACACGTGATACTACACTATTCATGCTATTGTACTGGGCACAGCAATAAAATTATGGCTAACGTTAACGTAATATAAATAATATATAATGATCCTAATAATATTATGTAGTAATTAAGACCTTTAATATCAAATCGAAATAAAATAAAACCTGCTCGGGAAGAAAATCGTAGGCCTTAAAACGATTGTGAAATATTGAAAGACTTTTAATTCTTTCACGGGGATGAGGGAGATAAATAAATATTTTTATAAACCACAATTAAAGCCATCTGTCATGTGGAAACCACAGTTGTGATTCATTAAAATTTGCATTTGCATGTTAAGTGACTCCATGTAGGTTTTAACACAACTAATAAAAATGGAAGTAGTTTAATTTTCTACTCCGCGAACCCAGTGATGGTTAAATCGTGCAAAATATTTAATTTACTTCTATTTTTATTAACATGGACTTCCGCAAAGTAACGCCTGAATCTATTAATTATTTAAAACAACTTACAACAAAGATGTTTTTGGATGTTTTGCTTACGATTGTCTTCCTCGAATATTGTACCTCTATAGATACGATAATCTAAGAAAATTCAAAATTCTATCAAGGTGCCTAAAATCTATCTAATTCTCTCTAATATATTCAGTTACTCAAAGATTTTAGGAGGTACTACATAGACATACTGAAAGTGAAGCAAAGAACGGGATCCTATTTCAGTTAAATAGTCATTAAATTGTTAACAGTCATTATATATAAAGCTTTACATTATATTAACTAAAACCTGTAAATTAATTCGTTACATTAATAATAAAATATATTTATGACAAATAGTAATGTACATATTTTATAGGCAATCTGAATGCATAAGAATTTGTAAAAATATATACTTGGAAGTAAATATTACATTACGCATATTATATGCATAAATGTGTAAATAGAATATATTAAGATTAAAATGCAAAAAAATTTAAAGTTTTCAAAATCCAAAACTTTTTCCGTATAGTGTCTAACTAATCGATTTTATATTATATCACAATAAATTAATAATAGTAAACGTTCAAAAATGATATGTCACAAGTTCTAATCTGTTGGACCGAGACACACGTGAAAATTTTACAATTAAACATTAAAAATGGAAATAGATTTTGTTTTATGTAGCACAAATATAAAATATTACTTATATTGGTGCTATCTTTAATGTTTAAATTGGTATAGTTGAAGAAATATTATTTGCACCGATGAATGATATCTCTTATCCTTTCTATTACAACAGCGTAATAAAATCATTAACACTTCTTTTACTCAAAGCATACATAGACATAATGGTCTTGATCCATCGTACGAGTCATGCATACGCTAAATGCTTTTTCTGAATTCTAGTTTTGCATTATTTCTTTACTAATCAGGTCTTTTTTTTAAACCTTTAATTAGGTCGTAAAATACCGACTGCCGACTCTTTTCTTGCTAATTCAACAAAGTTAGTTCCGCATAAAGAATGTCAAATTTAGAATTAAGTGCCAATGCGTAAAAGTGTTTAAATTAGTTGTTAGCACCGTACAAACGGCACGGGCGTTACCGAGACGGTTCCCTTTCCTCCTTTGTCCTAAGACGAATCGGTGCAAATTATATTTCGCCAACTACAAAAATTTTACGCGATATCTATAATAATTTTTAAAAGCGGTAGTTTATACCACAATAAAATTACAAAATAAACAGTTTGGTGTAGCTGGAGCTGGAGGGACCAATTAGAAAACAATAGTAGGTCATTTAATTTCACATTAATCGTCTCAATAACTACTTTTAATAACTATGATATTTTATATGTGAATTAATCACTGACATTGCACCTACGCTACTATCACACAATGTGTGTGTAATTTGTTTATACTACGTACATATATTACGGCACTGTGACAAGAATTGTCAATTTGTAAATACCTACGTAATTATCATAAGGGTTCCATCCAAAAGTCTTGTCATAGTGCCAAGTTTACGGTACGAATTTTGCCATGGCAATAACCGTTAGCCAAAAAGGTTATTACAAAAACAATTGCCTCACGAAAAGTAAAGGCCGGTCACGGGACATCAACGGTCTTCTTCCATCGTCATCCTGCGCGACTCCTGCACATGGCATCATTCTCAAAGGCCTTGAAGATGAACTAGCGCCACATCTGCGACATTGTGTTCTTCTCACATCCAACGGTCTACGCCACCACCACAGTCCTTCATCATAATGTTTTTCTGAAGTTGAGGCATCACTCTGCGAGCTGTGTGCAACGGGTCTTACGTAACTCGGTTGAGGTATCCAAGTGTTGCTATACCATGACGTTTCGCTGTCACAAGGTGTCACTGGGGCGCTTCTTACAGTTTTCTGTGGGTAAAACGGTATCACTTCTTCTGTTAGCGAACCGCGTTTCTGAAAAAGGGCGTATCAAGGATTTTAGTCTCGATATTCAGTTAAGACTTTTGGAAATAATGTTCACTCTATTTCATTGTTGAAAGGATCTATTATGCTTAACGTGAGCGGGACACTCCCGCTTTTAAGCTTTATGTCCCGTTGTTCGCAAGATACTAATGCAATGTCCCGCTTTAACAAAACAAGACAGACGTGACATTTTTTTTTGAAAATAATGTTCATGTCAATTATCTTACAATGAAGTGGACGATAAATCCGATAATTATAAAAAAGTGACATGTTTCAATTTTAAAGTAGAGGTCTCCTGCCCTGCATCCTATACATTATGTTCTCTCTAATTAGTATACAAATAGCACTCATTGTGATATAGTATATCATATCTTCTTAGAGTGTGTATAATTATGGGACAAAGCTGAAAAAGCGATGTTTCATAAAGCCCAGTATGTAACATTTTCTTATCTTCCCCAAGCTCAAGGGAAGCTAAATTGTCATATACATAGATTAGTTGATGTAGGAATTAAGAGAAGATAGTAGACGAAATTTAAGGAGCCTGTCAATATGGGAATGACATCATCTGATTAAGAAACAACCTAAAATAAAAAGAATATATAAAAGAATACAAGTAACATGGATAAGATAGGTACTTGAAAACTGTTTCAGCGACGGCTACAAACTATTCATTTAATAAACATAAAAAACATTTCAGAAAATAAAATAAACAAGTGTGATAACTATTTATAGTAATAAGTACAACTTAACATCCCAAAAATCCATCAAAGTTCTGACACTGTTGTACATTTTACTGTGTGAAATAAACATTTTGTGTTGAAATTGTATCATCATCAATACGTCACACTGTTGAACATGGGTTTCCTCTTAGAAGGGTTTTAGGTTAGTCCATCGCATTGATCCAATGCGGGAAGGCCACTTCAAAGGTTTTTAAAAGGTTGAGAATGAAGATGTGAAAGGAGTTCGACATGCAAGATAGTATATCACGATATTTTCCTTCATCGGTACCGAGAAGTACTACTTTAAATATTTCCAAAACTTAAATGTTATCTTAAAATACATGACGCCACAGACATTACAACCGTCGACCTCTCATATTTTTATCATTATATTCTTACCACAACATACTAAGTAGTAAGGGGTTCCCGTGTGGTCAAGAGCAAATAACTTACCTTCAAACGAGCGAACTGCGGCAGTTTGAAGCGTCACACCTCCTGCAGAAACTTAATCGGACAGACACCCTGCCGGTTATCTCCTGAGCGGATCATCACCATGCCGTCAACCTCATCACCTTCTTGGATGACGATTTGGTCACGGAGAAGCATTAGGCCGTTGTCGCCATCAGATACCTGGAATCAATATTTATTAACTTACATCAAGTTTGGGTAAGTAAAATATGCTACAGATACATTGACTTACAAATAAATGGACGACAGGTCTAATACAAAAAACACGAAAAAAATGTCCCAAGTCAACCTATTTAAACGTAGTGGCATATAAAGGAATATGAAAAAGCTAAAACGTTGAATTTAAATTGTAATGTCATCGCAGTACTGTCTAATTTTGCTTGCTTCGCTGTCAGTCGAACAAACGAAGACTAAAGTGTGAATGACGCCCTGTATACGATTTTAACGCCCTATAAGTTCGGACACTTTTTAGCGCGGACCCGACGTCCATATAATTGTAAGTCAATGTATAGATATTATTTATTCATATAATAAATATTGGTATTAAATGTGAACCCTGTGGCACAGCTGACTGTGTACGTTACGTGCAAGTTTCATAATCACTTATTGCAACTTATCAAGTATTTTTTTAAGAAGTTGTTCTGTAAGATTAAGAAAGAGTGCATGGACATGGTAAGCTTTCAGTTTTAATCTCAATTAGTACAATATAAACCCTGTTAAATGTTTTGGGACAATCTTTTGTATAGAACTATGACGCAAATGATATCATTATTGAAAAAGTCAATATTTTCATTGCATGTCCGGTAAGCTTATTGTTTGTTCACGAGTCCATGAGATAAGATACTATGTGACATTTTAAATTTGCAATAGCATATATGTTTACAGAATTAAAAATTCACGCAACCGTATTAATAAACAAGATTTCTGTGTCAGAGAATGCAGATAGAATTATATCAGTAGTATACCAGTTGGCTAGGATGTAAGTCGTTGAATTAAGGCTTCCCAGTAAAATAATGACCACTACATACAAAAGGCTGCAAAATTTAATGACCACTCTCAGCGTGTAGCTATCAAGGTTGAAGCGGGACGTTTTGAGAGCGAGTCAAGAATTTGCCATACAATAGATACAAAGGGTAAGAATAATATTTTATACGTTTTCAGTGAAAAGAAATAAAATGTAGTGGGGATTTGAGAAATATAATTTTATTTTAAGTAGGTTTACTTATTGTGATGCGGCATACCTACTTATTACTATTTTTAATTGTATGTTTTGTTTGTCTCCATATTATAATTTTGTTCTCGTGTTTAATTAAGTGTGTTTATTATTAAACCGAGTAGCGGTTTCTTTCTTTATTAGTTTTACCTGGCTAGCACATGTCTTGAGGAAAGACACAAACGCACCATCACACGTACATACACACACATACACAGACACATAAACGACAATTTATATCAGTAATTTACAGTTAGTTATGAATTCTGTTTTTATTTATTATACAGATATCACATATTTTGTATACGTAGTGAGTTTCTGTTATTGGCTTTTGTACTGCTTAAACGCATTTGTAAGATGAGTATAATATTGCCGAAGAAACTTTGTTGATAAAATAAAATAAAATAAATAAGTGTAATATAAAGCCTGAAAAAAAACTCGCTCACATTTATTTTTACTACGCTTACAATATGCAAAGAAAACTGAGTTCGTTAGGGTCGATTGCACAAATTTGTTAGAAATAGTAATTTGCGTGTATGAATGTAATCTCACCTGAAGATTATGCGTGACTTGCAAAGGTCGTTCCCCAGCGTTCAGTTTAGTGCAATACTTAGACGGGAAGTACCCAATCTTGCCCAGGCACTTTCCCTTCCACCAATCAGGGTCCGAGGTGTCTATTACGGTGACTTTATAACCAGCTTTGAGGTCGAGCTCGTCGTCATGGCGCGATTTAAAGTTGTAGAGTATCACGTAGAGATTTGTCGGTAGGAGACGCTGATGTTTCTGAAATTACGAAAAGTTTAAAGTTTTGTAATTAGTAGTCAAGATATGTACGCCGATCGTAAAGTCGTTGTTGGCCGGAGACCGGTGTGAAAACGGCGTAGCATTATATTTGTTACGTCTCATGCACTAAAAGTACGTCAATATACATAGCGGGAGTAAAAAAGGCATCTTTAATCCCTAGGGAGTAAAAAGTACTTAATTTTTTTATTTACTTCAAGTGAACAAAGTCAAACAGCCAGTAGTACGTTCGGATTTAGTTCCGTGCCTTTTTCGCATAGACGGTGGCGCTATATTATTTTTCCGCGTTAGTGCGTTTGTTGTAAAACTTCAAAACTTCAGAAATTTGGGTCGTAATTTTGTTGTAGAGCGAAAACGACTGAAATATTTTTATTTTTCTCGCAATCGAAGTGAAAAATAAAGTGTTTCGAGTTTAAAAGCCAATATAAAACCTCGGAGTAATAGCTCGCTAAAGCTCAGGTGTCTAACCACCTCGGGTCTACAGTGGCTCGTTTTAGTCTCTCGATAAAAAATATACTATTTCAGGTGTTTAAAACACACTGAAACATTGTTTTAATCAGCCGTTGTATCCATTTTCAGAATTTTTCGCATTTTTTACTCTCTAACTTGAGCTTTAATAGGTATAAAAAAAGACTCACATAAGAATGAATAAGACGTACGTAGACGGGACCATAATTAACTTCAATTATACGGAAATATTAAATATTGAAATAAGAGACGTAATTAACAAGAAAGTTGTTACTTCATTAATATGAAAGAAGTTTTCGCTGCGCCTATTTTATGTCGACATTGACTTACAATTATATGGACGTCGGGTCCGCGCTAAAAAGTGTCCGCACTTGTAAGGCGCTAAAATCGTATACAGAGCGCGACACTCCGCTTTAGTCTTCATTTGTTCTACTGACAGCGCGATACTGCGATGACATTACAATTTAAATTTCGAATAGGTTGACTTGGGACATTTTTTTCGTGGTTTTTGTATTAGACCCGTCGTCCATTTATTTGTAAGTCAATGTATGTCGATCTAATTCTTCAGAACAATGGCGACGCGCACATGTCTTTTAGTGACGTTTCTGACGTCCCTGCGGCTTTGGCGATGGGCTACAGATATGAAAGCACGACTTTCCAGTAAAGAAACGGACGCAAGGGTGAGGGTGCTCTGTTAGTAGAAGCGTTGGATACTCTCGTAGTTACAGAAGGTATGTGGAGAAGGAAGAATACATCAATTAAGATAAGATACCAAGTCTGTACAATCATAGCTTTGGGGTTAATATTCGCGCGATATTTAATGTAGCTATAAACATAAAGTGGCGAGTTTGATCTCTTGTGAGGACCTCAGACATGATTACTTAAACATTGTTGGTAAAAAAGATTTTCATAAGCTTGTTATCAGGGCTGTATTCAGTTAAATTTCCCTTTGGCCCTATTGGGGGCCACTCACACCTTTTCTTCTTATGTGTTATTTTTCAAATATAAATTCTAAGCAAAACCTTTAGTTTTATATTAATATCCAAACTGTAGCAAGTAAATAAACTAACTTCTATATTATATCAAGTTGAAAAAGCTATTATTTGTCCTACTATCGCACTGTAGGGCCACAACGACAACAAAGCTCTGGAACGGGCCTATATTATCCTTGTGTAAAGTTCACAACTTTTCTTTGAAAGAATGGGTAAGGTGTACGCGAGAAGCTGAGTAACAGCAGCTTTTCGGATTGTAAAAAAATCCAGTCTTACCTTACTTCAGCATTTATTATTGTTAAGTTACGTACACACATTCCATAAATAAAACTTTTGTTAGAATATTTTCGATAATCTTAGGACCTACCGATCTTTCTCTGACTTGGGAACGATTACTCTTCTAAAATAGATAAAATTGCTAATTTACTTCTACATATTGTATATTCAATGTAAATAAATCTCCAGCACACCCCGGGCACTCCATACTACGGTCGAAAATTGTTTACCTACTACTACTACATATAGCACGGCGATTTTTTAAAATAAAATATAAGTGCGCATTTGATCTCTATCTTACCTGATGGAAAGTGACGATGAGGTCGACGATGGAGTATGCACACCTAAATAATGGCTATTCACTCTCGCCTTGAAAAGACCCAATATAACTTTCAGGGAACAAGTCTACAGGCACGGAATTCCACTCCATAGCCGTTCGCCATATAAATGTGGAAGCGTAACGCTTCGTGCGAATCTTTGGAATATCCACAACATAGGGGTGGAACCCAAGCCTACGCCTAGTCCCCCGGTGATGCAAAGGGGAAGGTGGAATTAAATTGTGTAACTCCATCGCACACTCTCCGTGATATATCCTGTAAAGTACCGATAAGCAGGCAACTTTACGGTGGTGTGCAAGGCTCTGCAGCTTCGCCTCCACTAATTCCGAGTCACCTACATATAAACCTCTTGACACGGTTGTCAATTGAATCCAAAGTGGCAAGTTGATATGTGGCAGACCCATCCCAAAGGTGGCAGCAGTATTCCATGCACGAACGGACTTGTGCTTGGTACAGTTGAAGCAACTGTCCCGGAGTAAAGTAACGCCTCACCTGGAAAGGATCCCAAGCTTCCTTGCTGCATTTTTGGTCACGGATTCAATGTATCTGCCGAAGTTCAAATTGGACGACAGGTCCATTCCAAGTAGCTGGAAGTAGACGGCTATCGGTATGGATATATCACGAACAGTCGGAGTCAGCTCAAAGGGACTCAGTTTTGTGGAGAATAGACACGCTTGTGTTTTGGTAGCGTTAAACTTGACAAGATTGGCATTGCCCCAATCGAAGACTGCCTTGAGTGTCAAATCTTAACGGCTAACCATGGACTCTCGACAAGACTGGATTTCCTCTCCACTGACCCTTGCATTGGTAAAGTACCTATCTAGAACTGTGCTGTCATTATCATACGCAAAGGTACCTGGAATTAACATATCATTGATATGCAGCAGAAAGAGATTTGCAGACAGTACGGAACCCTGAGGAGCTCTCGCCATATGTTCGGAAGAGTAGCCTTCTAAGACCATTCTAATCGAACGTTCGCTCGAAAAATCCGAGATCCAATTGCAAAGGTCAATGGAAAGCCCATAAGAGGGAAGCTTACTTAAAAGGCTTGCTAGCCAGACCCTGTCAAAGGCTTTAGAAATGTCCAAAGACACTGCAAGTGATTCGCCTTGTTGTTCTATAGCCTCGCTCCATATGTGACAGGCATACACAAGAAGATCCCCAGTAGATCACCCTCGTCGGAATCCGTGCGATCACTGAGGAGGTCGTTGATGTCTTCAAGGTACGATAGGAGACGGTTGTAGAGTACACGTTACATAGTCTTGCAGAGAATGGAAGTGACTGAGATAGGTCTATAGTTGACAGGGTCAGATCTCCTTCGGTTTTTTGGCACAGGTTGCACTTTTGCAAGCCTCCACGACCTGGGAACTACACCAGTCTCAAGTGAGAGGCGGTACAGGCGTGTGAGAACAGGAGACAACTCAGGCGCACAGTTATAATTCCTCTCTTTATCCCGTTTAGATGATTATAAGCAGCCGTACACAGCACAACTACAATACTACAACTACATTATAAATAGTAGCGTAAAATGATGTTACATAGAAATTTCGTAATAAATAAATGAAAACTATATTCAAATATCAAAGCCGTCTTAGCGCGAAAACGGCTCGTCGACAGCTTTGTTCTCGTTCAGTCTATGTGACAGTCAATGTGCGGGGTGTGGTGTGGTATCTAAAGCTAGGGAGGGGCGGAGAGTGTTCGTTCTAGTTACTTATTTGTTCTCTGTCTCCAGAGAGAGAAGCTTAGTCACGTCGGTGTCAACCAATATTATATAAGTTGTGTTTACAAGGATAAATTAGATACAGGGATTTGATAAGATGACGCCTCTTTAATAACGACACAAAATATGTAGTCGGTGATCGTATTAACAACAGTAAACAACAAAAAATGACCTGATCAAGTTTCCACGCAAAATTCGCACGTTCTATTATATAAATAAATTCCCGATATGGTGGAAAAAGATATTTATACAGTTGTACGAGAATAGGCTCCAAGCTAAAGAATCAAATATGAGAAGACCTGATTGAGGAAAATCTAAACGAGTGATCAACGGCCTGCAAAAACTATTATACGTGGGGGATATTTGTTCATTTTTATGAGATGTACCTTGGTCAATTTCTGCAGAAAGTAAAAAATGTTCGAAATGCAAATAAACAAGATGGTCGCCATGGTACAAATTTCGAAGCCTTCTATCATGGAAACTATTAGAGATACGTAGGAGGTGCTGGAAGGAATGTCATAGAGGGTAATAGTTGTCAAATGCTTGTCTAAAATAAAGTTAGGTATTACGAACCAAATTTTTTCTTCATGAATTTAAAATTATATTGATTGCCAAAGAGTATCAAATATTTATAACTTTTATACTAACAGAAAAAAACCAACCTCTAAAGTTTGTCGGATTCATCCCCTAATTTGGCACGCTTAGAGGTGGAATATTTTCTTCAAATTTGAGTCGAACCTCTACTGAGATATACCCTTCCCAGCAAAAAAATGATCGATTCATAAATGTCGAAGTAATCAAGTCACATACGCACAAACAAAAAATAGAGTCGAATTGAAAACCTTTTTTTGAAGTCGGTTAAAAAAGTTAACTATGGTTGGACTTATTGTTACACCCTGAGTCGAAAATCGCCGTTACTCTGTTTACATCCAATTTAGTGTTTAGTACAGTGACGATGTAAACGAACTCGTTTTATTATCTCTGTCTAATATTAACAATAACCGTAGCGTCGTCTTACAATTTTAAACGTAATAAAGTGAAATTGGTCCTTTATTCTATTACTGTATCGTTCGTCGACCTCTAGTTAACAATGTCATAAGCAACTGCGTACTATATTTCATTGGTCCAGATGAACAGGATATTATCTCAAAAACACAGATTTTTCAGGAGAGGAATTTTAAAGTTTCTACTAGCATTATTTCAGCCGCTATTGTTCTTTGGTACCTATACGTATTTAAAGCCTACACATTTAACAGTATTTTCGAATACTTCTTATTCTTATCAGTTCCGTAGTTTTGACAAAATCCTGAATGAATGAATATAAAATATTTGTGATTCAGAATTTTAACTAAACTATTCGTGTTTAATACTTTTAAATGAAGGAATAATATTCAATTCGATAAAACTTTGAGGAACATAGTAGTACCTATCTCAAAAAATTGCTCTGTACTATAGATTACCACAACATTTCAATGACTAAAATATTCTAAAAAGGTATTACCCTTAGAATAATAATAACGCATAGAATGATAGTTTCATATCAAACGAACTGTCACAAGTGAGGCAAAAACCGAATTCATGTAGGCGTAAGCAACTTGTATCTACGCTCGTCGGCACGCACACAAGTATACAAATAATGATGCCATGGAATAACATTTCCCTCAAAAGTGGGAAAATTGTATCTTGCGTAACTCATCATTAAGTTAAAGGTGCCTACAGATTTGCCCGATTTTGTCGATCGTTACTGTCGATAGACAATGTCGATCAGGTGCCTACAGATATGCTCGGTTTTGTCGATCGTTACTGTCGATCGACAATGTCAAGTGACAAGAATTTTTTTAAATTTATTTTTGGTAATTGCATTTATATCTGAATACACGATGACGGACACGACTTTTCAAATAAATGCAATATGGTAGCCATTTTCGAGGAATTCGAGGTGCTCATTACGAATATGGCACTCATTTCTAAATTCAAGATGGCGGGCACGATTTTTCAAAAAACCCAGTAAACGATACCCAGAATCAAAATCAAAATAATCTTCATTTCATAGGTAAGCATTATTACACTAGAAGTCGTCACATTAGTTAAACTCTACCGCTCATTCGTAAGGCAGATTCCCCCGAGAAATATGAGCAAGAAACTCTAGGGGTTGCTCTTTGTAAACAACATTTGTACGCATTTAACTTGCAGAAATGGAAGTCAAATGCACACTTACATTAGAATAAAAAAAAATCTGCAGCCGTCGCGATATTGCCTATTCTCAAAAAATTACGTAATATAATTATTTTGAAACAGAATAGCAAAATTTCCCAATTTTGAAAAATCCATGAAAGAAATCCGTTACTTTGCAACATTTTCGTGTCTTGTTGCAACGAAATTAATTTTCGGTAATTCGGTGAATATTTATATAAAAATATGTACAAGTTGAAACGCGTTACTTCCATGTGGAATGTGATGATAGTGTCTATTTTATGTTTGCCTGTTCTATTTTTACACCCATTTACCGCACATTTCGTCATTATTAGCAAAAATTTTTGAGCTGTTCGCGGTGCACTTTGACCTTGAGCACTGACAGCCCGCCCGCTCGTGTAGGCCCTTTGGGAAGCCTCTAACTTGCCTCACTTAGCGTGTGCGGGCTAGGTTTCAATGCGTTATTATTCTAAGGTATTACCTTGAAAAAATCGTCATTGTTTCAGAAATAAATATTTTTAAAATACACTTGCCTTATAATGAACACGTGCCGTGTTTTCGTTTTAATACCCTGTTCCACGAACGACAACGTCTTGACGACTACAGCTTCGTGTTTAATACTGAATACGACTGTGTTGCTCAATGTTTGGGGCCAAAACGTGCAAAAAGTTCAAAGATACTACCCTGCCTCTCGCGCCATTTTACGCCCGATGGTTAGATAAGACCTTGTTCATTAGAAAGTCTCGATTTTTTTTAATAGGATTGCATTTTAAAGTAGAAAGTCCAAATGTTTGAGTTGATACCCTGTTCATCCAAGGTAACGATTTGTCAATTTAATATGGCAAATTGGGCACCACAACGAGCGGTCACAGTAAGAACTAACATGTTCACATTAAACGAATTCAGTCGCTCGCGACTACCAATAAATATTCATGGTAGCGTTTTATTATTTTAGTTGTACCTACAGTTTTAAACATAATTTGAAAAAAGCTAAATATTTTCGTGCTGCACCGAAATAACCTTTGTCCAATGCAGCACATACATATGAACATTTTTACACCAGCAGCATCGCAAAATAGTATCTCGATTAGGATTTTGTACAGGGTCAAGAGCACGTCAAGCTTGACTCTTTTAAGACTTGGGTTTAAGTCTGTATGCCGCTTACGATAAGAACGGTCCAAAGTACAAAGCGTCAAGCTTGACGTGCTCTTGATTGTACGTACTTAAAAATACATTTGAAAATAAAAAAAATATAAATTGGGCACAAAATGTTTTAAACATCGAGCTAACGCTAGTGAAACAACGTTTTCATAGATTTCTCAAAGATGGCGCTACGGCAAGAAAATTGCTAAAAAACCAAAACCAAAGATCTGCAACAAGCAAAGAAAGATTCGTAAGACAGCGTATTCGGGTATTTAGTTCCTATGTCGCGACGAGTACCAAATAGCTATTTTTGTAACTAATTTGTTTTGTATTATTGACGAGCTGCAATTTATCAAAGCTTAACGCACACACTCAACTTTAAGGTTGAGTATCGATTAATCGGAATAATCGATGTTTTTGTGGAATAATCGATGTTTTTAATCGATGTCATATGGTTCGATTAATCGGATAATCGATGATTTCATACCGATTTTTTCAAAATAAAAAAAACAATTTCATAAAAATATTTTATAAAGATGTTAAAATATTGGAAAAATATAACCGCTTTTAAATAAAAATGTTCATTTTATTAAGTCGATTTTACAAAAATGAGATTTGCGCGCAATACCGTGGCACCAGAAAGATGGTTTACATAAGCTAATCATAAAATTTGGCTGCACCGCCTTTGAACAATTTATAATTAATACTGGTGTCTATACTACTATATTGTTGTAATTTGTGTAATTAGAAATAAGGCGGCGAATGAGGGTCATCTTACGAGGTTCCTATGCAAGCCGCCTGAGCCGCCACCTGTGTTTCCCAGGTTATTCTAGAAACCCTGGTACTATTAGCTTAGACTTAATGGAGTATTGTCCAGCTCTCTCTATACTTACTTAGTTTTTTTAACTTTAGAAATCAGGTAAACAAAGAAGCAGGGTTTGTAGACCGTAAGAGATGAAAGTAACGTTATAAAATTTAACTTACACAGCTAAAAAAAATCACAAACAAGAATACGAAGTATTGCGACCAATTAAAATATTTATATTTTGTCGATTAATCGAATTTTTGAGCCACGATTAATCGGTACATCGATTGTTTTATCAAAACGAATAATCGATGTTTTGTTGGTCGATGTGCCCATCCCTATAAAGCTTCTCTGATTTCTAGTAATAATAAACAAATTAACTAGATGGCGCTAACTCTATGGAGTTATGCTATGTTTGTCTTATTTATTAGTTATTATATGACATGACATTAAACTTACGCTATGTTGCTTGACGGGCGAAGGACAAGGACTGGCACTATTAGAAGACAGGCTTTTGTCTGGCTCATCGGGTAGTTCTACGCTGCTCATTCGTCCTATACGGGCGCTTAGTAGTCTCTTGCTATGTACTGGCGACGACGGGGCTGGATATATCAAGAAATTAGTAAGTATGTGTGTAGTTGTTGAGTTTGCAATTGTAATGAATCATTCTTCCCTTGCATTTCTCCTTATCGACTATCATATGAAAATTTAGCCAAATGGACTTAATCTACACGCACGTTAGCATAGTCGATGCCCTAAGATACCTAACTCTCTAGCCAACCTTTTGGTCCTGAGAACCTTTTTACCCATTCAACAGAAAAGTGTAAAGGAATTCCAACTATTTGGTTGAAATTTGTATTTATGTAATGTAATTAAAGATCAAATTGGCTTAAAGTTTCTTAAAAAGTTATAAACTATTGATGCAATAAGATGGGCCACAAATAGTCGGAATTCTGTTTCGAAATTTCGTTTCGGAACATCGATTCGAGATTCCGGAAATGCATCACACACATACATTTATTTCCGTTCGGAATAACAAGATTCGGTTGAAAGACGTTATGTATTAAATTTACGACCGTGTGTTGCCACCCTGCAAAATCTGTGGAAGACTTGCATTCGGAACAGTTTTTTCTGTGAGGAATCCCAAATACACAAGACGTACGGAATCTCGAAACGAAAAAAAATTCCAACGGAATACTACTGTATGTGTGTAATTGATAAGTCCGTGATTTGTATGGTTTTACTGCCTTCGAAATACCGAAACGGAATTTCGAAACGGAATTCCGACTGTAGGGGAAACGTACCAAATATTGGATACGTGCACAATACTGGATATCCCGCTATAATGAAAACTAAATAACACCATCTTTATTTAAAAACTAGAACTACTTCGTCAATGTAAGTTACCAATATTTTGCTAGTTGTCTGCGCCATTTTTGCTTTCAGTTCGTTGTCAACATTCAAAGTGTATTTTACCGTTCAACGATTTCTTCAGATCTTGACTTCAAAACGCTGTTAGAGTACTATATGTGATATTATATTTTGTGACAGTGTTATATACCAGCTAGGCGCATAATTAGAATACAGAAGTTAACGCATTTTAGCGATGACATTTTCGTAACCGATTATGGTACAATTACCTCCATATTGGATACCTAGGTATCCACAGAATTAGATATCCGATATTGGGGTACCTACATCACTCGTTGTATAGTGTCTTTCATAATCAAATGTTTAATTATTTGTTTAGATAGGGATCATTAAATAAGACGACCGTTCAGACTTTTTTGCTTACTGCTTTTGCAAATTTAAAAGGATCATTAAATAGTATACCCTGTACTGGATATCCATTGTTAAGGTACGTGTGAAAACATCGTTGATGAAATGAACATAGATATAAGTTTAATTGATTTTCTAATGTAAAGACTTTAGATAGAAAATGACTGTGACTGCAATAAATATAAATTTTTAAATATTATATTTGTGTTTTTTCAAATGTTCAAAAAGTATCCGATATTTGGTACGTCTCCCATATGTGGCTGGTCAGGAAGTCATCACAAAATTGATTTTACGGCTCACAGAATAAAGATTAAGCTGGTTATACACGTTTCTTTACGCTGATGTACTTAGAACCAAATAGACGGTTAGGGGGTCAGCTATCTTAGGGCACCGATTGTACATGAAAATCAATCAACATCCTCAATGTACAGATTTCGTAAATTTAAAAATGTCTTGTATTTCGATTATGACTGTACAACCAATATTGATTTTCGTGAAATGAATTCGTGTACCTATAACAAACAAAATACTCAATTAGACTGAATCATTACATTTGCCATGTCGTCATTTACACACAAAGTATACAAATACGCAAGATACAAAAATAAAACTGTGATAGAATACGATTTTCTGTGTTAGATCAGTGCAAGGCCGAGGCCAAACTTTTATGAAATAATAATGAGGTCGTGAGAAACAACATCGATCACATCTATAGAATCGATAATTCATATTAAAAAAATTGCAATGTCAAGTATAGTTCAAGGTGATGTTACCCAAAATTCATGTTGTTTTTTAGGCTTATAGGATAAAATTTCAATGTAAGTCTGGTCTCCAGGCGAACTAGTATTTGATTAAAATGACAAATGTCTATAGCTGTCAGCTACGTATTATGACAACACAGAGCTTTATAAAAGCGGACATAAACTCGAGTGCCATATTAAGTACAGTATTATCTCATAACACAATATCTAATAATCACCACGGACAAACAATGGCGTATCAGCAGACAGACAAGGTCACTAATAAATAATATGGTGTATTTTTTAACATTTGTAGCAAACCATGGCTAGAAGGAATATTGAGCGTAAACGGATTTTCATTCATAGGCATTTTATCGATATTTATTACGAAAATGCCCGATCTTTATACTGACACTGACATTATTTAACCATGGCACGTGAAAATTTAAAAGACCGTGCACGTACATGAAAAAGAACGCACTCTATAACTATGTATTGTGTGGTTATTAATTCTTTGAGAACCATGCCTCATGCAAAGCGTTCTGCCGCTACCTAAAAAAGACGAAAAATAAAATTATGAACAACATGCAACAAAATAAGATTCCAGATGTTAATGTTGTTCGGATAACTGAACATGTGAGGAATCTAAATGAATTTGAGATCATATTTTTTCCTTATGGTGAATTTCTGAAAAAATGTAATTTTATCGTGACCGAAAATTTTGATTACAGACAAAGACACCAGTGTTAAAATATTTTTTTATATGCGACAATATATTCCGAATTTTTTTTACAATATCCTCACATTGGTAACATCGATAGCTGAGAAAACAACAGGAATGCCGACATATATCAAAGAACACGAAAATCGCATTCTTGTTCCCTTTGAGCGACGTCGAAAGCGCACCACATATATGGAGATTCTCTAGAGACAACACAAAAAAACTTTACATTCTATTACACACAAGCTAAGCCAAAGGGAAGTAATGTTTGGAGCTGAACATCGCGTGTGCTGACATTACAATTTGACATAAAAATTACCAGAGTCCAAAAAACCGTACTGTAAGCGTGGTCGCTAGTAGTAAATTCCTCGTATTTAATTTAAGAATCGAAAGTGCGATAAAGCGTTAACGCAAGCACCCGATAAAGCCTTTTCCAAAAAGGATGATATACAAGCGTAATAAAGAATATTATATTATTAATATTATTCTGCTTGGCCCTTAAGTATTCTGTATGAAATGTGACCAGAGAGCTTGATGAGGATTACAGTAAAACTGCCTGCAAATCATCCAATTTGGCATGGACTTAAGCGTAAAGAGAAAAAAAAAGGTTGTTTGGACTCGAAATTATTGTTACGGGCGATGTTCGTACAGAGCACACGACTGCTTTGCGAAGGTCCCTGGTCTCGTGGTGGGCGGCGCCTCAATTCACCACACTCCGGTGAATCCAAGGATAGGCTCTTCATTCTAAGGTTCAACTTTTGACGTCTCGGCGAATGCGGCGCTACAACAGTCACGTAGTTTGAGCTTGTAGCACTTACTCATATTATACATCAGGTCCTATCAGAGAAATAGAATGACCTTTGCTTTATGTACCTGAAAAGTCATTTTATCCTTTATGTGATCAGAAAAAGCTTTACATATTTAAGAATTGGTTATGAATGTAACAATGTCTTAGAACGGTAATCAGACAGATAAAAAACGAAAGGTGTTCCTATTGTTAGCTAGGCCTTTCTATCCTTACACAGAGATCTTTAAAGTTGGCATATGAAAATGTAATGTTGAGTTTAGTTCAGCATGGATGAGTATAAACTTCAAATCATTAAATTTTGTATGGTGCTTTAGAAATATGGCTTTTTAGACATTGCGTCCAGACAGGTCTTTGTGAATGAGACTCTTGCCTTTGAAACAATGACGAAATTTCCGTAAAGATTCAAATTTAGGCAAATATTTATATTCTAATGAATTCGACTTTCAAGATTTAGTAATTACGTACTACTAAAATACGGGAGCAGGCAAATCGTACAAATTTGTTATAAGTAATCACAACAGTAAAGTGTGCAGAAGCAATGCAAATAAAATTGACTACGAAACAAAGATAATCTAAATTAGACTGAAGTAAAAAGAAATAGAAGAAATAAAGAGAAAAATCGCAAAATCCTACAGTTAACGTACCTACTTAATTTGATAGTTTTATGAATCTCTACCTACAATTATGTTCTTTAATGATGTGTGCAGTACTTCAAGTGCCACTATGAAGCTTCGTTTAGAGTATGATATTTTAAGTGTTGTTTAATTACCAAAATACGTACTAAAGTAATCAATAAAAATCTATGATTGAATGCAGCTCGTCATCAGCAGCGTTTGTTGAATAGCAAAGGCATGTTTACACTCTCAATAATGCGAGTACATTTTATTCGTGCTTAATGTTCAGCAAGTAGTAAGTAATGCACTAATCACTAAATTAGTACATATCGAATTTTTTACTACTTATAAATATATATATAATAATAATCAAAGTGTAAACGTAACCTTATTGAAGGTGTTGTCTTATGAGACTTTAAACGAAATGTCAAAATGCTCGTCGATGCAACGAATCTTTTAATCAACAAAGAAGTCTACGGGGATTTGATTAAATACGTCATTTTGGTACCAGGTAAGGGACTGGTGCGGTCTGCCTGCCTCAACATTTGGGCACTCTTGGAGTTCTTCATCGAACCTGTGTGGACAATCAGGAACGAGTCTATAATAGTATTTAGTAATAACATGTGTCGAGGATGTACTACCCTTTTAAAACTATAGTGAAAACAAAAGGCGAATGAGAAGCTGAACACAAAGCGAAAACAAATGAAATATCAAATGTTTTGTAGAATATGACGACAATGTCTTCATAGATTTTGTGGTGAGAGTTTCGTTTGCTCAGCGTTAATTCGTGAGTCAATTAGTATGAAAGTAAAATGAGGGTTATGGACACGATTATATGGTGCTAGTCAGAATGTTAGCAGTTTAGTGTTAAGCTGTGTATTTCCGAAAGAAAAACGCATGCAGCCGTTAACACGCCCGCCAAGCCATGCACCACTTACATCCAACGCTGGTCGGCGAAGGCCTCAGGCGGATCCGATCGAATCATTACTTAAATGAAATAGTGCAAACGTGGGTAAACCAGAAAAAGGAAGCTTGAATTCTGACTTTTATTGTAACAGTAACAATATACATATATCACAGTACGCGGGGCGCTTCGGGGTAATTAACATTCAACTTCTGAGGAACGGCTGTCGGGGACAAACCGTGGCCGCGCTGAGTCAGTGCTCGCTTAGTGGCGAAATGATTCATGATCACAAGCCCGTCAGGGTGAAAACTCTATTATTTTTTCTTGACACTGGCTGTGGACTTGAGAATTGAAGGCGGAGGGTCGCCGTTCTCGTTAACGAAACATAGGGGCTGGCCAAAAGGTCGCGTCGTCGTCTGCTCCAGCTCTGCAAAGATAATACGCGAACGAAACAAAATAAATAAAAATAAACAAATTAAATACTACAACACAAAATAAACCAAATATCAAGGGGACAAACAGGGAAAACGTGACATTTATATGTTCATTGATGTATCTGTATGAAATGATATCCCGTTAAGGGCAGGTTCAAGCATCTAAAGGTGTATTGCCGAGATTCGTCTAGTTTAGTTCCTATTTTCTAAAAACTAACACCGCAATTGCGAAACACAAAATAAATAAACGAAAAATACGGAACACACAACTTAAACGAGGCACCGGAACCCAGAAAGACGGGACAGACAAAGCTTGTATCGCAGCCGTGAGACTGAGAGAGCGTTGCGCTACGGCAGCCCTGGGCGCGTACTTTCTGGTAGAGAAATCGACCGATGCTGCGGCGAGCCGCGGCGCGACTTCGAGCCCCACATGGACAAGCTCTTGACGCCGGCGAAGAGTCGCCGCCGCACGCCGCCTTCAGGCCGCGCCGCGCCTACCGACAAGCAGCGCTCAGTACTGACCGCACCCCGCCCCCGCCCTGCGCCCGCGACTAAAAGGAATGCGTGCAAAAACAACTCGACGCTACTGAAAACGAGTGAATCGAAGCTGCCGGTCGGCCGTCGCGCGTCACAACGGAGTGGTGGCAGGCGACGGCCGGCGGCCTACGGCGCGGCTCGAGCGGAGAAGCGAGCGAGCTCGGGTGCGGCGCCAGACCTGAGCTAGAGGAGATGGGCTGCGGCGCCACGGCCAGCCCGGCGGTCGGCCGCGCCGGCGAGCGCGCCGGCGGCGTCTCCTCGGCCGTCGGCGCCACCACGCGCACTACCGGGCCCCCGCGCGATTCCCCGCCGCCCGGCTTCGCTATTTCGTTGGCCCGCTTCAGAACTTGGTAGGTTTGATCCACTTCCTCCTCTGAGCATCGAGCGAAATCGGGTTAGAGTTATGTCTCGATGGCCGTGACTACGATCTTATGGAACTCGATAGGTTATTATGTAGGAGTCAGGCAAAGGTAGTGTTTGGTGGTTAGTATGTTTATATTCTCGAAGAACTCTGTAAGTGACACGGGTAATAATCAACCTGGTCAGGTTTTGTCAATAGTTAATGTTTATAATTCTTGGTTTCAGGAGGGTGCGGAAGGGTCACACCTGACTGACTCATACTGTACCCTCGTCATAGTAGCTATCGAAATCGTCATTGGACTCGACCGTTCTAGTGAGCCTTTGTCCCGGCAGCCATCCGTCCTCCACCCCTGGACAATGCGAGGTTACAACTTCCGACTGTGGTATCTTTAGCTGTTGCAAGTAGGTATATATGCAAATCGTGGCGTAGTTTTTGCAAGCTGGATGATTTAGAGCGGTGTGTCGTGTTGAAATGTAAATTTATTACTGCACAAGAAAGTCACTTCAGTAAATTAAATAATGTGAGATAATTTAACTTATCTTTGTACTTGAGATACATATCTTGGAACATAATTTTCAATGAGCAACATTAACCACTTACCACAACCACTGATGGCATCTTCTATGGCAATAGACTAAATTATAGAGTAACCATGTATTAAAATCAATTGCTTTTGAAATCGTTATCTGTTAAAAATTTATTATGACCTCAATTATCAAATTGTCATAAAATAAATTTTTAAATTATTCTTCAGCTAGATTTGAAATATGGGCATTAACATTGTAATAGAAGTTACTCACTTTCTTCTTCAAAAGCGGTTTCCTGTACCCTATGGGCCTCGATCTCGGAGGTGCTTTTCTGGCGGCGCAGGAGTCGCGATTTCGTCTGACATTTGCCGACTTGAGGCATACAGTCGGTATGGACGTTCATCTTACATAATCTGCACCGAAGACCTTGCCGGGTGTGGCCTATTTGACAACAAAACCGCACTTTAGAATATAGAGTGCAAATAAAAAATAATAATTATACATTTCCAGCGTAACTGATATAAGACACAATTAGTTGGGCACAGCCACGGAAAAAAGAAATATTTATTTGGTCTGTGGTCACAGCAAATCTTAATATGACAAGACTTGTCAATGTCGATAATGGTCGCGTCGTGTGGTTCTTCTTCTTCTTTTAAATGTTATGGCCCCATCCATTGACTTACAAATAAATGGACGACGGGTCTAATACAAAAACCACGAAAAAAATGTCCCAAGTCAACCTATTCGAAATTTAAATTGTAATGTCATCGCAGTATCGCGCTGTCAGTCGAACAAATGAAGACTAAAGCGGAGTTTGGCGCTCTGTATACGATTTTAGCGCCTTACAAGTGCGGACACTTTTTAGCGCGGACACGACGTCCATATAATTGTAAGTCAATGGCCCCATCGAAATAATCAATAATTTTGCCAATGTCAAGTAAAAATATACTGGTTCATTGTACAAAGACAATTGTTGCTCGTGACTGAAGCTGTCACCAAATAAAGTTTTAGATCACCGATGTCCTACAATTTGCACGAAAAACACTTTATCTATTAAGTAACTACAGCCATTGACTTTAAGTAACTACAGCCATTGACTTATTTGTAAGTACATGACTACAGCGCTATTTCTTCAAATTATCCAATGATTTCTGGCTAAATCAAATGAAAAAGTTTAATTCAATTCTACAGTAAAATTAAAATACTACATTTTAATGTTTTAACTTCTAAAGTAGAACCATCATTCGAGTATTCACTGTGAAGTTCTCCGTTAAACGCAATATTATGTCCGTCATCGTAATTCTTGAATGAGAGTTTAAATGCTGAGATTATTAAGACATTTAGTTACCTCGTATTTGTGCTCAGAAACTCAATTTGAAACTTTCGTTGTCTGCAAATTTGTGCCTTGAGAACTATTTTTACTTCAAGTTAGAGTAAAGACAGCTTTAGCACACGAAATTAAACTTTGTAGAAGGTGTCTATTAGAAGTCAAAGCGCCAGAAGCCTGATTGTAGTTCGAAATGAAATTGCTTTGAGACCTTCTGAATTCGTAATATTTTTGATCCCCCACATTAAAAAAAATACAAACCGGGGAACTCAATGTTTGTAAAACTGTTGTACAAATCTTGGGTCCGAATTTCAAAGCATGCAAAGGTGGAAAAGGCAAAAAGTACTCTAAATTGTTGCTTTTGATATCCGAAATATACCTACTCCTAAATTTCATTGTTAATTGTATTTTTTAGGTATATATATAGTCCAGTATTTTGGTGCATTAAGGCGAGTCGTTGGAGGACAAACGGGAAAAACTGTTTTGCTTGATCAAATGGTTGAGGAATTAACTATTAAATAACGATCTTACAAAAAATATACGATACACCTAAGCATATTGTCTAAAGAATGTGCTAATGTATTTCACGATAGGTTGTACTTTATCCAATCGTATAAAATACTGAAAACAGGCAAAAATAAAAGTCTAAAACGAACCATTTGAAAATAAAATATCGGACTTTGTACATAATTTTACAATCGAGGTTTTTCCCTTTAAGTACTACAGAGAATATGCAACATTTTGGTTTTCAACTGAAGCCCTATCAGTTATTAAGTTCACATTTAACTCAAAATTTGCAAATAGCCGAGCGGATTAGCGATACGCCGCGCCGCCCGCTGCTCCGTTAGTCGCCATCGGGAGCTTGTACGTCGGATCTGTATCTAATTTTCTCCACCGGTTCATATTTTATTCATATTAATTTACAGCGCGCGAGTAGCGGGACGTGAGGAGTGACCCCCCCACATCACACCTCCTAAAATGTAGACTCGTGTTGAAATACCTCGCCTAAACGCGAAAATATGTTATATGCCTGCGTGAAAATTTATTATAACCATTTTGCAATCACAACACCGATAGGTATTGTCGCTGAAGTTAAATGTCAGTGACCCGAAAGCATTGGCACTGGGTCGTTAATCAGTGTTTGTGGTTCAACGGCACCAGACAATAGGTTCGCGAAAAACGCGAATCGGGTTGATTTTGATTTGGGTTGATCTATATTACAAGTTTGGCCTGAACTGGATTAGCGGTGGTTTTTCCTTTTACAAATGCCTTTATAACGAGAGGGACATGCAAGGGTAAGCTTTAGAAAAAAAAAACTTGGCTGTATACTTCTATAACGTGTTGAAGACTTGCGCAAAATTTCAGGAAGCATTGTGACAAAAACCAGACCTGTTTCTGTCACTCACTTCTAAATGTTTTCAATTCATGGTTACGGTTACCCAAATTAACTCGTATCGCAACGACGAAAAAGAAGTGTTTGCAAAATTCGTTGTAGATCCGTCCCCAACCCCTACCCGACAAATTAACAAGTACGTATATCTAATGGTATATCCCTGGAGAACCTTACCGACCTTTGGCATATTTTTTCTTTTCATTGTTATAGGTAATTCCTGTCGAAACAATATTGATCCAAACGTTTATTTTAAATTTATTCCATTGTATCGTTTCATTGCCGAATACATTGTTAGGTATATTTCTAAGTAAGACAGTCGATCAGTTCCATTTCAGAACATTAAAATAATGTATCCAATCCATCTAAAAGCATTTACATTTTTATAACCGTATTGAAGTCGTTAATGGCTTTCGCTTACATTTTGTGGCACTCTAACTATAATCTTTTTGTTGATACATTTTCAATCACCTTCAAGCAAAAACAGATGTTGATAACCTTGGCTTCGGTAGTGATAAGTGTCAAGTCTCTTTCCTTTACGGTTCTATTTCCTTTCATCTGAATTAACCTCCAACCTTTTCTAGTTGGAGAGGTATCGCACTTGAGTACTTGTAGAAATAATTTTTGGATGTTCTCTGGTAATTACAATAGATCCTGGGAATACCCTTCCTTAACTTCGATAATTGCTCTGATTATTTGCTACATTCTTTATTCTCGTATAACTTTCCTTCACCCTTTGACGAAAATTCTCGAAGACGAGTGTCTGCGAATTTAACCGTAATGAAGTACGAAAGTTACGACTATTCGTCGAACTGTAGCTACACAATGATTGTACGTGGTTCGATCGGTACAAGGTACGAGTTAAGTAAAACATACCTTTCTTTGTTATACTACATAATGTCGTTATTTTTCGATTTCTGAAAAAGCGTTGTGCCAGGCCACGGACTTATGAAGTTGTAACTTTTATATCTGTTTACGCTTTTCGCTTTGCATCAAGACTGTCATCTAAGATAAGATCTTTTATAGTTCCAATGTCTTCTAACTGTAGGCACTTCTTTCTTTATTTACTTTCAGCATTAGGCACAAAACAAAGGTAAATATTGTTTGCCTGTCTACGCAAATCGCGTCTATTAATATTGTTTACAGACGCGGTTCACCGAAGGGAACACTCTACCGCTATCATCATCATCAGTTTACACACATTCACTGTTGGATATTAGCCTCCCTCTGAACAAGCCAACTCTCCTTGTCTTCTGTCGTCCGCATTCAGCCGCTACCAGCCACCTTTCTTAGGTTACCATCTGTCTTGCCGCAGGGCGCCCTCTCCCGCTATTCTAAGTAAGTAATCCAACTGAACAGGTTTACCGCTATCCTAGGTGGTAATTCCGCTGAATATACCTTCAGTTATACCTTCATTAATAAGGGTGTTCAGATTATCCGCATAGTTATTTTTTGCTTGTAAATTTTTAAGTTTATGTACTTAATAATTATTAAAAACACTTACCTCTAAGTACTTGTGAGCAAACATCACAAGGTGTGATCTTCTTGTATGTGTATTCTTGGAAGTTATGGACATCAGAGTCCCCACCGCGCATAGCATCACGTGCCGCACCATTCCTCCTAAAAGCGTAACCAAATTTAAACCAAATAAATAGTACCTGAATTTCATTTCTTTAGTCTTTAGTCACTTGAGTACTGGCGGACTCACTAATAGGCCTGATAATTACTCAAAGGTAAATGAGCAATCTATGCTATAAAAACATGACACTTGTTTACACGTAGCGTAGTCGGACTAGCAAACGAGTTCGTGTAGTGGGTAATTTATCAAGTGTAGATTCTACTGTCACTGACATACGTCATAATATCGATTCTTACAAAGGTCAAGGGGAGATATATGGAATGGGTGGTAAGGTAATCACCCCAGGTTGAAACGTCTAATGACTTGACAATGGCCTCGATTAAAAACCTTGGCTTCAGGTAACTATTTTCTATTGTGATTCAACATTTAAAGCAAAACAACATCGATCGAAGACTTTCATGCGATAAAGCTGGAAGCTGTGTTTTAAGAGCAAAGTTTTTGTTGTTTGGAGTGCTGTAGGTGTAGGGTAAAGCTAGTGTGACTGGCCATTCTTAGACGCATGCTTTTGGATATAACGCTACGTGAAATGGCCGGCTTAGATAGAGCTCTAATCTGCGTGAGCAATTTTCCACTTTAAAGTACCGCTAATACAGCACTTTCAATAGTGTTTAAATTACCTAATACATTGATGGTTGTCCGCGATTGTACAATTTGTTCTTGCATAATATATTGAACACAATGGAAATTCTAAGAAAGCTGATGCTTTGTCAAATAAATATTTTTCCACACTGAGATCTTTCATTTTGGGTTATCTGTTGCAATAAGGGCTCACGAGTTGTTTTGTTTCAATTTTCAAACATGATGATAGAGTGAAAAATTACTCGCAGATTTTCATGCTTTACCTTTGCCAGTCAAAAGGATTGAGCAATTTTTCTAGAAGAGTGGGAGAACACATTGACCAGGCGGACACCTACAGGGCACACTGGGCAGAGTTACCTCATCGCCATAACCGTCGACACCGCGTGGTACATTTGATTTTTTCTTTATCGATGCAAGAAGAGAGAAACAAAGATGAACATGACACACGAAGTGATAAATACAATTTGTTGATGGTGTGCATGGAATTGTGACGTAAAGATGTATTATCTTTTAATATTTTAAGCTTCAAATTGGGTGATTGCTGTTATAGCCTCTAACTGATGTTATCTATAAATAATCCTCAGTTATTATTATTTAAAGTACCAATTATTATGCACAATATGAACGATATTTCAATGAAATTTTACTAGAGAAATCACGAATTTTAGTACTGGGTTTAGTTCCTTTTAGAAGGGAAGTGGAACTCGCCCCTAGTTCAAAGTAATCAATACACTATTATTCGTATTTCTATTACTTTACTTTGATATCTATAGAACCCATATCACCCAACTTGAATTAAATAAATTGTAAAAGACATTTCTGGATCGGATTTTGAGTTACTCGTTTTTAAGTCTTCAAGTATTTCGATTTAACCACTCGTGGCATCACAAATTTCCATTTAATAAAAGCGTAAGCAACCCAATAGATTAAAGTAATTATCATATAATATGATAAACTTCTTGGATTGCTTATGCTCAAAGCTAGAATCATTAGGCAGTACAAATCACGATGGTTATATTAATGACCAATTTAACAATGCACATGAATTAAACATCAATGGGAAAGGTATTTTTGAAAAAAAAAAATACTACTACATCAATGTGAGTTAGTTCTGTTTTATCATTGTATGTATAACGTTTCTCGGATTATCTTGTGCCTCTTTGCATTTACATACCGGTGTCGACACATTTTTATAATTACCGTTCTTATAAATACATATAATCAACATTGTAATAATGAACATACTTAGAGGAAATTATGATAACAACGTTCAAATGAATCATAGGTTGTTTAATCGAAATTAAACGACTGTTGAAGTCATTCTTTTTTCAAATTAAACATTATGGTATATGTGGCCAGTTGTTCATGAGCATTGTTGTCATAATTCAATCTTTTTTTATCGTTCCTCTAAATTATGTCCGTGAGAGTATTTCTTCTAGAGTGTTTAAGTACACACATAGTCTCTAATTTTGAAAAAATATAAAATATTGTTTGAATATTTCCTATCTGCGCCAATATTCACTTTGTTAGTGGTGACTTTGTTAGTTTGGCGTTAATTATTATTGATAAGATTTTGTTTGAACGCAAAGACATGCCACAATTGTATATTATGTTTACTAGGTAGATACGTAAGTTATGTAGTCTGAATACAAAATTGTATCCATTGAAGTGCGCTCCTTTTGCTAAATAAATATTAAGTTTTGCATGTCGTAACTCGTTATCTCGTTTAATATTTACTTTGGACTCGAATTTCTTCGGAGTTCGAGAATATTTTTTTTAACGGCTGATGATTGGAATAAAAGAGATTCCAATAGCTTGAATTTGAATATTTAAAGACAAAAGATCTTAATTTCGTTTATATTTTTATTAGAAAAGTAAAACTGGAACTTAACTGTACATTGTGTATTAAGGACGGTAAATAAGGAATTACGAACGAGACTTAATTAGAAGCCCAAAGTCGAAGACCGAGGGCTTTCTGAGTCGAGTTTCGTAATTCCCGTACTTCCCGTGAAACATACAATGTTTTTCACTTGCACGTAAATAGTAGGTATGACTCCATGCACGCTAACTTGACTGTAATACACTAAATAAAACCCTGAGGTATTTTTTCATTACGACTATGGCTGAAAAGGCCCGAGCCTTTTATTTGGGGCACTATAGTCAAGTTAGCCTGCATGCAATCAGACAATCTGCGTGCAATTGTGATGAAAACTATCTTTACGGGTCTATAATGCCGTGTATTTGTTTTTCAAACCAACGTTTCTTTGTTTACTCACTTGGTGACGAGTGACGACAAACCGCTGAATCAGAAAAGATAATTGCATTTTCAATGCAAGTGTTTGCAAGTGCAAAACAAATCGAATGGTTTTGATCATCAATATCTTTATTCGTCGTATTGTACGCATTTATTTTATTTGGACTTTAGAAAATTTACCTAAGTAGGCAATTCATGCAAAGTTCGAAGAAGCCGTATAAACAGCGTATGTGAAGGCAAACGGTCTGTAATCCATTTACCACGAGCCTCTGTTATACCTTTATGTAATCGTCTAGTCTATGAATGTGATTTCAAATACAGAAATCATGTGCGCGGAGTCAGCAAATTCGATTAGGTACATGCTATTTCACACTCTATCCATAACTGCTTATAGGCCTTTTTAAAAGTGAAAGAATTCCACAATAGTAATTAAAGCTTGCTGCATTTCCGCGTCCCGGGAAAAAATTGAGTCTTGGAGGAGTGCGTATGGTCCCCAAAATTTTATTAAATTTAGGATTTTAGGCAGGCAAATATTGGTTAAAATGACATTTTAATCAAGTTCTTTAATAACTCCAATTGTTATATAAAAATGTTTCTGAAAGGCTTTTTTAATTTTAATATTGGGTACGCAACAAACACACGGCGTTTAATACACTTCAGATAGAGAGGATCTCATTCTATTAGTATAGTTCTTCAATCTACACAGATTATACTAAGCTCCACTCTCTAGTGTTGCCATGTCCATGTAATGTAAAAAATGAATGTTGGTTGAGTAAATTTGTTAATGCGGTTTAAATAGGTGACATAAGCTGGTGAAATTACAATTACATTACGATTTAAAATTCTGAGTGTCACTGCAACTACTATGGATAGGCTTGCCGTTTACCACCGAGCCCACGACTTCTTCGTTCCGTCTTGATATCATAAAAAAATGTCTCAAAAGTCTCGTTATTCCCGAGACTGAAACTATCAATCTCAAGTCTCGAAAATGCCAAACAATCGGGGAGTCTCAAAATTTAGCAGTCGAGAAATAAACATGGTGCATGGTGTTATAAATATGATTACAATAAATCGTTCAATAAACGTTGTAGATTACAAAGTATGTATATAAATTTGACAATCTCGGTGGCCCAGCGGTTTGTACTGTAGACGCTTAATCAGGAGACTCCGGGTTCTGTATTCGGTAGCACCGATTTGGAAAATGAAGTTTTCTGGTCTAGGTGTTTAGGGTAGAGCCCCAGAGTGCATTCCGTTGCTCTGGTACTCATAGTACAGATTCCCTAGCTCAAACGAGGGAATTGGAGTGGTTGCCTAAAAATAAATATTCGGTGGTTTGGTCAGTATTTACGGCATCCACGTGTGTCTCTACCGTTTCATCTAGCCTGTAAGCTTTAACATTTCAATATCATATTATCTTCCTTAATCCATCTATTAATTTAATTAATACTGCCTACACATATTGAATAATGCAAAAACTAGTCTGATTTAACGTAAAAGGCTTCTTATCTAGATCCCAGCTCAAAACGAATGTACATTTCAAGTATTATATCCAATATAAGTTGATTATTATTGTTGAATCCATTTATAGCATGGTAATTTAGCGTTACACTATTTAAATCATCAAAAATAATTTTGAGCATTTAAATAATGCAAATACAGTGTTTTTTTTAAAAGTTTGATCGGTTACCTTTATTTTTCTATTATAGATCTAATTTGAAAGTAACAAATTACTCGACTGTCATTTTATTAATTCATTTGCTTTCATTTACTACAGGTTTGTCGACTGGTTCGGGTTGATATTGCGTTCTTGTAAATTTCGTAAAGTTTACTTGAAGAAGTTTTTTGTAGCAGCAGTAGAGCTCCTTATGAGAGAGTTCGTCCAGGGAATCACTGCCACCTTACTTATTTCTGCCGCTAAGCATTAATGTGAGCTTTAATGTGTTCCGGTTTTGAAGGGTAAGGGTGCTGGTAAAATTACAGGCACATGGGACTTGTCTATGTCTCAGAGTCACGGGTGCAGTGGTAGTGCCCCTCAGATCTTTGCAATTAAAGCTCTGAGTGGCACTGAAACTGTTATGGACAGGCGTGTAGCTTACCATCAGGCGCACGACTCGTACGTCCCGTAAATTTCAAATTTGTTAAGGTATA